CTGAAAATCAAACAATTTTTACGTTTGTCATGTTATTAACTAGGTCGTCTACTTGAAGTATTTTGTTTCTAATACATTGTACGTTTTGATGGAGAATGTAAATTTCTGTTTCGTCGGTAAATTTTGATTCATTTGTTCCTTATCTCTCAGGGATTCCTCGAAAAAAGTGATTATTTGTGTTTATTCCATGATGATGTGGTTTGAAGTTGAAAGGCATTACCGTGATCCCGTTTGGCCAAATGTGTTCTTGCCATAAACCGTTTTCTGTTTCTTGGTTTGCAGTGATCTTAAAAGATTTGTGAGTTTTTGTTTTTGAATCTGGATTTAGTTCTTCACAGATAATGTCGGTGCATTCAAGTGTATCTCTAAAGTTGTTATTATTGGCACACGGATTGGTGCCAACTTCTTTCGTTTGGGTTTGGTAGATTAGAGAGTTTGTGTTTTTGTCTAGGTTTGTTTTAATAATTTTATTATGATGAGTTTCTTTTCTTTCTTCGGCATTTTTTTCTTGTACCGAGATTGTTGTTGAAACATTTTTTGGAGTTTCGTTGAATAACCTAACTAGATCTACATTTGATTCTCTTAAGTTTACCATTTCATTTTTAAGTTGTTTTATTTCCTTTTCCAATTTTATAATTATTTCAATTTTATAATTATTTTCAATTTTATAATTATTTCCAATTTATTCTTATTTTAATATTTTTTTCTTCTTCTAACTTTTTACATATATGATCAGTTTCTTGTTTGTGTCCTGTGTTCAAGCACAGGAGAGTTCCCTGCAGCTTGAAAGAAAGCCGTGATAACACCAATATACAAAAAAATACACAAACAACATGCAGAAAACTATAGACCAATCAGCCTAACAAGTGCACTATGTAAATGCATGTAAAAAATAATAGCCAAAGAACTCACAGAATTTCTGCTAGAGAATATTTTACTAGCGCAACAACATGGTTTTCTCCCAGGAAAATCAATATTGACAAACCTCCTAACTAGACTAAATGAGTGGACCATAGCTGATGACAACCACGAACCAATTAATGTCATTTACTTTGATTTTTAAAAAGCGTTCGACAAAGTACCAACGGAATTTTTGCTTTATAAAGTAGAATATTTTGGAGGAATTCCTCACTGATCGTACTTCCCAGGTACGTGTGGATCCCTGACTTTTAAATGAGCACAAAGTACACAGCGGTGTTCCTCAGGGATCAGTCTTAGGACCACCGTTGTTCATAGCATACTTAAGTGATCTTTACCAAGGGCTTCATACAAACAACGCTTCATTTGCTGATGATGGAAACTCATATGCAAATCCACTGTTACATCATGCTGAATTAAAAATGGACCTTAGCAACATGAAAAAGTGGAAAATGCCTTTGAATGATTCCAAATGCACTGTTTTACAAATCAGTCAAAATAAACCCAAATTCAACTATTTTTTTTTTTTTAACAAACGGAAATTATATCAGTAACAAAACAAAAAGACTTAAGAATCACTAATGACACAAAAAACAATTATGTGATAAAACAAAAACTATTATGTGATATTTCTGATAAACTGTGAGCAGTTCAACCAAATACGGCAGTCTCATCGGTTTAAAACCGCCTACTGTTAATAATAATAATAATAATAATAGATTTGAATCCCATACCTTTCGCATGACAAGTCAGCTTTATCTACACACCTAACGTTTTTGTTTTAATACTCATAATTAAATTTATTTTATGTGGTTTTATTAAAAATATTTTTTGTGAAATGCTATTATTTATCGATTCTTCACAAGAATCGCTAATTTTTAATTATATATAATCTCAATAACTGAAAAATATACTTGCAATTAGTTTGACAGAATTGTCACTAATTTAAAATTTAAAAAATAAAATTAGTCTGGTAACCAAATATGAACTGTGTTGGTGGATTTTTTATTTGTGCAGTGTTCTTACTGGGTAGAATTGATATGAAATATATTCTTAAAAGGGAAATAATTCCAACTCAAAAGTGACCAAGAGGACATCTCGGTGTTAAAACCCTTCAGAGAGTTCATGAAAGGTTTTATTGGATGAACAGTTCCGATGATGTAAAGGACTGGTGTAAGAAATATACCACCTGTATGGGTAATGGACCCCAATGAAGCAGTACAACGTCTGTAGCCCATTTGAGGGGATTGTCTTAGATATTGCTGGACCATTCCTCTTGACCAAGCATGGTAATAAATACATGATTGTGGTTATGGATTATTTCAAGAAGTCTACGCCATTCCAAATCAAGAGGCTGCAACTGTTGCAGGCGTGTTGATAAAAGAATTTATCAATAGATTTGGGGTGCCCTTGAAGATCCATACTGACCAAGGCAGAACATTTGAAAGCCAACTTTTTCGAGGATCTGTGACAGACTAGGCATGAAGAAAACCTGAACTACGGCATTGCACCCACAGTCGGATATAATGGTTGAACGAATGAATAAGAAATTGGCAAATGCCTGTCCATCAGCGAGATTAGGATCAGTATCTTTCTCTCTTTGCAATGACATATGATCCGCTGGTAATAAATCAACAAGCAAAACACTAGGATGGGCGTGAGATGAGACTACCATGCGACCTCGAGTTTGGATGCCGACCTGGAGAAGACGTAGCCAGTGAAGATTATGTGATCCAGCTACAAAGAAAAATGGACGATATGCATGAGTGGTTTCGCCGCTCGATTTTGCAAATCGCCAGCGACAGAATGAAGAAACGGTACGATACCCAAACCACAGAAGGATGTTCCAAGGAAGGCGACAAAGTCTGGCTCCATAACTCAAAAAGACAAAACGGTTACTCTTCGAAGCTTTAAAGGTATTGGGAAGATCCGGACCTCATTAAGAAAAAAATTAATGATGTCATTTACCGTATAAGTAAGATCCCGAACGGTAAACCGAAGGAAGTGCACCAAAACCGGCAAGTGCTATTTGAGGGTGGCCATGACGAGGAAGAAAAAGTAAACCAGCTCCAAGAAACACATGACTTTGTCTTTGAAAAATTTATGAGTGCATATGGAGGTACCGGAAAAGCAAGACATGGTGTTACAATCGAACAACAAGACCTGCTCGCGGTTTCTAAAGACTACTCGCTGGTCTATAGCACTTCCGTCAGTATCAACGACGCTCGAGGTCTGGCACGTTCCGGAAGAAGTTTGGTCGATTGCCAGAACTTCAAGGTCAGTTACCAGCCCCTGGAAAAGCATTAAAACTTCAAGATAGATCACGTTACCTCTTCTATTTGGTAACAAAGAACATTTTCCGAGATCGATCCACTTATCATAATGTATGGGAGCCATTATTTATTCTGAGGGAGAACGTACTGGAGTCCAATGTACAGAAACTAGCCATGCCAAAGATAGAGAGCCACCAGCTGAATTGGAGGATCATTAGAAACATGGTGAAAGTAATTTTTCAAGATACCGAGGTTCATATACTGATCTGCAGCCATTCGCCTAGTGTCCAGGTTTCAACAAAACCTGTCCCTTGTTATTTCCATAAAAATGGAAATTGTAAAAGAGGGTCCAGTTGCAGATACAACCATTGGGTTTTAGTTCCAGGAGGAACTATCTCTTAAGGCGGGGCCAATTTCGTGAGATTGCCTGAAGCCGACTCTGTTATTTGTTGTTCGTACCCGCGACAAGGAATCTAACGCTGGCCATATCAAGACCCGCCTTGAGACTCGAGAAATCGACTGGAATGTTTTCTATCGCAGGATAGGCATGGATGATAATTTCCAGAACTTTTAGACACAGCTTCTAGTCAGAGTTGGTTCTTTCTGAACTGCTTTATTTTTGTATAAATAGCGCGACTTTATCGGTAGACGTTAAGTTTCAATATAAGTGTTGTAAAGATAAATTGTAATAAATAAATTATAATTGTGAGTTATAAATACGTGTCTAAGTATTAAATAAATTATTAGTACTTTATAAATAAACTGTTTTTAATAAATAAACTGTTTTTAATAAATAAACTATTTTTAAATGAAACAGTCGTTATAGTATGTTAATTTACTTAAGAAACATCTTGTTTAAGGTAGTTCACTCGTAAAACGGCTTTTCTTAAGAATTCAATAAAATTTAAATATAAGGTTAATGAAAGTGTCTTTTAAGTAAATAAAAAAAATTAAATTTTTTGACCGTCTGTGAAACGAGATATTAACAATCAAAATGTGCATAATTAACACTCTTGAAGCCTCTCATGTACACAAGTAATGCATTTATTTTAAGATATCTCGAAAACGGTTCTTACCATATTTTTTAAAAACTAATGTAATGTAAATCAAGAAGTTATAAAATTTTCTAAAGAAACGCTGAATGTTTTTTAACGTCTTAGTAAAAAGGTATAGATTTTTAAAATAAAAATATTTTTAAAGCAATCGACGCGTAGTTCCGTAAAATCATTACAACTTGGCAGCGTTGTATACGCTGCAATCAACGCGTTGTACCAACATAACACTCGATCAGCTAAGAGGATGTTATAACCTCGCGACGTTTTCTTGATAAATTAATTCGTCCACTGTATTTGAGAACTAGAATCAGCGGTTCTGTTTGAACCAAAACAAACCCTTAAAATTAATATGAGGAAGTCACAAATTTCTATAGCAAACCATTCATGTATTTATGAGGTTGCCGGATGGATTTTATTAAAATCCATATATATATAAGCTTACATGTGTTTTGTACAGTCTCTTACAAAAATAAACTTGATTAGCATTGAGAATCTCGAACTATTGGTATTCACCATTAAGCGTTATTTTTATGTACGACTGTCGCGAGCGAACTACCTTAAGAAACTGAAAACAATCTTTTACTATGATTGCAAGACAATAAAATGCCTGAGACAGTTATTATATAAGTTAACAAAAGTAACACAGTGGTGCTGAAATAAATGGGCAAACAAAAGCCAGCAGGCTGCAGAGTTACCAGAAACATTGTTCATATGAATCCATGTAGACTTAAAGTAAATAAAAGTATTTTTTTAGGTCTGGTTAGAAGAGGGCCTATACGAGCACCAGCCAATCTAAGAGCTACGGTGCGATGGGATTACCAACCAGACATATGTAAAGATTATAAAGAAACGGGTTTTTGTGGATTCGGAGACAGTTGTAAATTTTTGCATGACAGAAGTGATTACAAACATGGTTGGCAACTTGAAAGAGAATGGAATGAAGGAAGTTATTCAAGAGACAGCGATGATGATACAAAATATGAAATCCACTCAGATGAAGAAGAGCTGCCTTTTAAATGTGTTATTTGTAGAGGAAGTTTTGTTGATCCCGTTGTTTCAAAGTATGTAAAATTTATCCTATTTGTTACTACTTAATTCAATTCGCTTTTGGTTTTCAGATGCAAACATTATTTTTGCGAAAAATGTGCCTTAGAAAGGTTCAAGAAGAACAAAAAATGTTTTGTTTGTAACACTTTAATAGTCAGTTTCAATCCTGCCAACAATTTAATGGCTAGGCTAAAAAAGTTAGATCAGGACGAGGTGAAAGAAGAGTCCGATTTATCAGATTGAATTTTTAAGAAAATAAACCTGTTTTCTCTATTTGTGTATTTATAATTTTTATCGAAAATTGTTTAGTTTTAATTCTACTTTTTCTTCTTCTATTACCTCTTGTATTTTGATATACAGCCGACTACTTGTTTACAATTTCTAGGTGTCTAGGGTGTCTTGAAATGTTTTTCTCTTTTCAATACGGTATAACTCCGCTAATAAAAAAGTTAATCATTTGAAATAAATTTTATTTTACAACGATCAAAATGAAAAATTATTTATGGGAAATAACATTGTCGAGATGTCTTCCTTCGCGCTGCTGCACCTCAAGGCAGAACCGGAAATGTGCAATTACTCTCAAACAGGTCTGGAGTGATATTGTGAATTTCTTTACGGATTCTATGCCTGAGCTGGTCCAAAGTTTTTGGTGGCATGCCGTACACCCTTTGTTTAAGATAACCGCATAATAAAAAATCCATGTGGGTTAAATCGGGGCTTTTGGGTGGCTAGTTAATATCCCCCTGTTTAAGAGATCTCTTCCCGGAAAAATGGTCCGGACGACTTCCATCGAAAGGTTTGCAGTATGTGAGGTGACGCCATCCTATTGAAATCAGTAAAATTAGCTAGCTCTGTTCTCAGAAAATTATGTAACATGTCTCTGTATCGAAGAGCACTAATTGTAAGTGCAGCACCGTTAGCATTCTGGAAAAAATATTGCAGCCCATACCGTCACTTTGGGAGAGTGCAGTGGTCTTTGATGCTTATGTTTAGGGTTTCAGGGGACCAGTAACGGCAGTTTTGCTTATTTACAAAGCCATCTAAATGAAAATCTGACTAGTCGCTGAATAAGATATCGTCAAATGTTTCAAAAGTGTTAAGTAATGTATCAGCAACCCGAAATGGACAATCCTAAACTTTCTAGGCCTGTATCACTTGAATTTTAAATGGGTGAAACTTTAAATCTTTAGTTAGTATTTTGTGAAAAGCTGTTTTTGATAAATTTAAGGCCGCTGCATTTTTCGGACCGAACGCCGTGAATTACGCGTTACTGCGGCACTAACACGCTCGATGTTCAGGATTTCTTCAGTCCTGGGGTAACTTGCAGGCTTCTTATTCATGGTGGTGCCAAAATATTATTAATCTCACCGATGGTGCTTCATTTATGTCGTGAAGATGATAATGGGCTCGATATAGATATTGAACTGTTACGAAGGAATGATTATTTTCGTTAAACGCTCGAACACACAGCACGTCGTCCATCGCTAAACCGCTTCATTGTAACTGATTTCCAAGATGCTGCCTTAATTTCCAACATATGCGGACGCTCTTACCCCCACTACTTTGCATAATATTCGACAAATAAATGAGGTAAACCTTCCGGGACACCCTGTATAAAAAAATAAAATTACTCCTTCGAAATAATGCAAATTATTTTTGAACCCCTAAAATAAAAACAATTTATTTGAAAAATTAAAAAAATCTGTCCCGGAAAGGATTTGAAGCTTATGTTCTTACGTATTTTCGGATAATTGAATACAAACAGGCGACCTAGTATAGAACATACATGCATTAGGCATGCTTCTGCAGCGATGATGTGCTAGTGGTTTGTTGAAAAATGAGATTATTCTATCATTTGTTTAAGATTTGAATCTATAGTTCAGGACATACTGAGAATGCAGTATGGCCCAGTACTGTATAGTCAATATTATTAGATATTTATTCTTGGTTCATATACGAGTTTGTCCTTCTTGATGTCTAATTGGATGGCTTTTTGCAAAAAGGAAGCAACCCCAAAGAATTCTTCTGACAAAAGCTATTGGATAGGAGAAGTAAAGCCCAAGCGTTGGTGAGATAAATCATGTATTAAGGCCCAACTTAATCTTGTTTGACATATAGTCACGATTTTTTTTAGGTTAGAAAACTTGCATTATCGATTTTTCATTCGAAGTAATACAGGACATCACTTTAAATTTCTATCTCTTTATGTCAACAAATATGTAACACGATGCATTTATAAAACGTATGTCACTAATGAATATGTAGCGGCAACTGACGGCAACACTGTCAGCTACTAGAGTACATACAGGTCCGGTATAAGCTATATATAAATGGAAAATAATAATTTAATGTTTTGATTGAGTTAATAAAATATCAAAATTAAATGTTTATTTTTAAGTAAACGACATTTTTAAATGTATACGTCTTCAATCAAAAATAATATAGGCTAATACTCAAGTGTATACGAGTGTACTGGACGAGAGATAATTTTACACTTTACTCCAGTTTTTTGTAATAAAACCAGCGGTAAAATAGATATTTGTGTACCAAGGCTGTGTTTTGGCCAAATTAGAGATTTGCGTCCGAGTCTAAGTCAGTTCTGGTTAAGTATAAGAGTAATAGGAAAGAAACGAATGTTCAATCAAACGACATTGAGATAGATGTCACATAAGCAGGTGTACTAAAGATGAACTTTGCAGGACTCAGCATCAGATAAGTATAACACTTGATATTCTGAAAACCATGCATACTACACTAAACTTAAATTTAGCCGCCCCTATTTCAAAATATTTTCGTCAAAAATGTAATTCAAGACATGACATAAAGTTAGTTAATATTGTTTTCATTTAAATATTTTTGAGTAATAGCAAAAATATTTAGGTGAAAGTTTGCATCTCACTAATAAAAACTACAATTTTAACAGTAATTTTTTAATTAACTGAATAAAACTAAAACATAAAATATTCTATTTATAATATGTATAACAAAAATAAAAATGTTATAAAGTTACAAAGTGACATCTAATTGATCTAATACAATCGGATCAGTTAGTTTAACATTAATGAATATACTACAAAATTATATTTATTTTTTGTTGCATTGTTGCTGCAAATTTACTAGCTGAATAATAAGTTTACATGACATGAATGACATGTTTTTACTAGTTTAAAAATGGATTGTCATTGTCCCTACTGTGAGAAATCATAGAAAAATCTTTTTTCTTGCTTTCTTTGCGGAAAAATCCCTAATCAATTCTTCCAAATTCAGGGAATCCATAATATCATTTTCTATGGCAATTATAGATAAATCATTGAGTCTAATAATAATAATAATAATAATAATAATCTTGTAACATGGTAGATCTCAAATAATTTTTAGCTTAGAAAACGATCTTTCTCCCGAGGCTACTGATACGGGCAAAGTGAGTAAAAGTCTAAGGGCTATTAAAATATTTGGAAAAGTTGACAATAATTGATTTTGAAATATAAACTCCAAAATGAACTTAGGATCTTGTTGAGAACCTTCTGAAGTTGAATCTGATTCAAAGTAAATCTTGAGTGTTTTAATTTCTTCATATAAATCAGATGCATCAATATCAAATTCGTTACGAGAATCATCCGTCAAAAGAGAATTCAAATGTTTACATGATTTTAACAATATCTCATTTGTTAAGGTGAACATATACATAAATCCAAACATGTCGTTAAAACTTTGCAATCCTTTGAATCGCTCTTGTAAAGATGACAGTATGCGGTCCAAAATAGAGAAAAAAACATTCACTTTGAAATGAGTTTTTGCATCGGTTATACCCAGACAGCACACCAAATCCTTTGGATATCTACTGAACATCCCAATATCCACTGAATGTCCAGTCCATGGTAGATATCTATTTTATATCCATGAAATGTAATTTATAGACATGCAAATGTCCATAAATAATAGTAATTTGTAAATAATTTGATTCAATGTCGTCATTGTCGTCACTTTTGGTCATTTGAGTTTCATCTTCAATCTCCTCCGTAAAACATGTTGACGTAAAACCAGATCTTTCGTTTACTACTGAGGTTCCACTGCTTCCAGCTTCATTAGAAATAATAGCTTCAGAAATCGTCCCAGCAATACATTGTGAAATATCCCCCTGTCCCTGTCCTTGCAGATATTTTTTTAAAGAATCTGCCAGTTTTAGCGATTTTTCCTTCTTCTGTAGTTTGTGTTTCCGATATTGATAACCAGATAATCGTTTCGTTTTTCTGTCCTAAAATTCAAAATCTATAACTTAGAATAGGTATTTCACATTTAAATTTTAGAATTTTTTCATTATACAGGGTGGGACACCACATACGACACGGTCTCTGTACGGCAAACGCCTTAAGATATAACATATCTATCTTAATATGGTATACATGTTATTTAACACTACGTTTTAAAATTATTTTGAAATATACAGGGTGTTCCAGAAAAGTGTCCCATATCAAAGTTACTATTTTTTAAATGGAACACCCTATATATTTTCGTAATTTTAAATTCTCCTTGAAGAGCTGATTTCGCAGATACCACATACTTACGGTCTAAATTAAATATTTACAGAGATAGGGTGTTAAAATCACCTATTTTTCAACTTTAGGTCAATGTTTTGTGAAAACTGCTGAATATTTGGCAAAACGGCTTACATCTCCCTATCCTAACTCTTCTAAGGCTACTCGATGGTGCTAAATAAAAATTAATACAGGGTGGTCAAAAATTTACCACATTCTGATTTTTTGAATACATTGTATTAATTTTTCTTTAGCACCATCGAGTAGCTCTTGAAAAATTGCGATCGTTACTAAGTGAAACTGCATTTTAATTCATAAAAGTAATTATTAAACCAAGTTTTTTATCGCTTTTTTTTTGTTATTTTACGATTAAGCAGTGACAAAAACTTTTTGTGACAAGGACAATTTTAAATCTAATTGAAAGTGACTACTGTTCCATTCTAACGGCGTTTTACGCAGCAGGATAGATAAATATAGAAAAGGGGCAAATCTTTTAAGTGCTGTCAGAACAAAATATTTGGAAATTATATATGTATCAGATGTATAAATATTTTTCATCAGAGTTGTCTCGAGAGGATGAAAAATGTTAAAATTTTGAAGGGGTATAGGGTGATCTGTTCTATCGAGTGTGCTGAAAAAGATGATAGCTGTGCCGGAGTTGAAAATGATCCTGAAGAGTTATTGAAAGAGCTAAATGAACTGTTAGCAAATAAAGATATTGAAATAAGCAACTTAAAAAAATCTTATGAAAATTTGGAGATTAACTTTTTTGAAATTGACAGAAAAATTGCTTTAGATAGGGACGAGCAACAGATGCTAAAAACTAATCTAAAGAATGAAATTAAAACTGAGTCAGGAACATTTGCTTGTAATGGAGAAAACTAAAGAGGAACTAACGGATATCCAAAAGATATTGTTCATTTACATTGAAACCCTAGAAAAGGATAAAGAAACCTACGAAAACGAGTTGATAGATCTGAAATCGACAC